GTAGGTATGGAATGCTGGCTGACTGATATGAGAAGGAGAGAACAGAAAAACACATGGAAGTAGGAATAAAATGGAATATATTTGAAGAGAGCTTGGTTGGTTGGTTGGAAGGAACAGGAATCAGGAATAGTCTGTCCTGAAACCTTTTATTGTAGGGCCTTCTTTAATCCACTTCCTTCACCAATCATTTGTGCCATGGAGATCATACACCATAAGCCAAGCATACACCAAATGACAGTAGTCAGAACCTTCCTGAGTTAGCGTATACACTTGAAATTTTAAAAGTGTTGTGACTGCCATAACAGAAGGGCCACTCACAAAATAATTATTTCTCAAAAGGTAAACAGGCAAGACTAATAAAAAAAAGGGTCAGAAGACAACTAACTGCCCTAAAACACAAATGCAAGGCACAAACACAATCTGAGTTCCAAAACACAAAAATATTTTTGAACTGATAGTTTTGGGGCTCCAATACCCATTTGAAAGAAGACAAACTGATAAGGCTCCAAGATAGGAAGCTTGATCATGAAACTAAATACAAGTCAGAGGTGGTATGCCCAATTGTACATTTTGCACACACACACACACCCTAAAATACTCATTTTACTGAAGGCAAACTGGTGATGCTCAGATAAATATACACAGGCTAAACATCTACCCATGCAATGTGAAGACAAAAACACACAGAAGACTCAAAGAAAACATGGTGCATGTCCAAACAAATACAAACACTGGCAAAAAAAGAGCAAAGGTAAAATTCCATTTTGTTTTCTGCCAGCTTTTTCAGCCACAAGATGTCACCTTCATCCCTTAGAGCTGTCCCCAAAGACCCAACTTTCAATAGTTCAGGATGTGTCCTTCTCCATCTCAGATTACTGTTGTTTTTTTCTTGGCACCCATAAAGTTGAAATGCTGGGCTTTTTACTTTCCAGAAATGCCTGTGGGGTTCATGTGGGGAATAAAGGTAGTGTTGGAGGCTGGTGCGTCATTTCCTATCACCCAGCTGCCGAGGCTTTTAAAATTATTTTTAAAACATTAACAGGAGAGGGAGGAAACCTACTGGACACCACAAGAATACTATCTGCATGTTTTCCCCATGCAGGACAATAGTAGCTTGCAGAGGCGGAATTTTGACAAGGAAAATTAAGGAGGCAAAAAAAGTAGCACTTCCCCCTCTTGGTCTCAGTTTGATCCCCTGAATGGACTGGTGCTTTTTTTGTTGTTGTTGTTGTTTTGACAAAGAGGCCTCTAAAAGGCATACCAATGTGCTCTTCCCGCTCACTTCCACTGATGCTTTTGTTTGCACTGGAAATCTGGTTGGGTATCTTGCAGTGTCTTGTCTGGAGCAGCTCCACGTTTGGCAAGTCTTTGTTTTTGTTTTTAGCCCTTTTGTGACCTTTTGGGCCAATGGCAAAGCCATTGTCTTTATATGCACAATTGCAGATGTGTGTTGTGAAACAAATTTGTACTGCACTTTAATATGACACCATTTCCTTTCTGTCACCATGGCAAATACCCTAACAGCTCACCCACACAGTAGCTTTCACTCCATTATTATGATAGACTGCAGCAGAATTCTTCAGGAGCTTGTAAAGCATGGAGCAAACAAGAACTTTCTGTTTAATTTATACCATCTGAGCAAACTGGTGAAATCCATTAGGACTTATAAAGGTAGTGGCAATGTCTGGTTCTGAGTATAGGGCCCTGCTGACTAAACAGCCATTCATATTCTACCGCTCTGGAGGATCTGGTCTATTATAGGCCTCGTGGGTCTTTCTGTAACTTAATTATTGGCCAACAATAGCATACACTGCCGTTTTTTCACTCATACTTAGAGCACTGCTAACAATACAATCTCCTGATGCCTTTTTAAATAAATGAAAATCCCACTATGGGGCTTATTTACAAGTAAATGTGTACATGTCTGCATCCTAATTTTTTTAAAAAAAACAATAGGGCAGCCATTGGGCAGAGCAAGGCTATGGCTACAGTAAAATCTTGAAATAATATCCTCACAGAGGTCAGCCCTTTTCTTGAGTACTTATGTAACAATTAAAGTCTTAAACTGCAGCATAGTTTTGATGTCATCTAATTATATAAAAAAAGATGAATGCAATACAAAGAGTTTTTTTTAAATGTAGCTGCTGAATACATGAGATATTTAGGAACACTGTATCTTTTTTCTGCATCGCCATACTTCTCCAATCAATGTGTTTTTTTCATTCATAATCTTATCTCCAAAATACCCATTTTACTGAGATTCTAATCTGTTAGGCCTCTGTGTAGTACACTTAAGAGGACTTTCTACATCCTCCTTCCTCCTTTGATTCAAGGAACTACAGTTATGGCCAAAAATATTGGCACCCTTGCAATTCTGTCAGAAAATGCAGCCCTTCTCTCAGATAATTTTGCAGTTGCAAATGTTGTGGTACTCACATATTCATTTCTTTGGTTTGCGTTGGAACACCACAAAAAAAGAGAAGAAAAGTCAAATCTGATAGAATCCCACACACAAGCCCAAAACTGCACTGGCCAAAATTATTGGCACCCTTAACTTAATATTTGGTAGCACCCTCTTTGGAAAAAATAACTGAAATTAATCGCTTCCTGTAATCCACCTCTCTACTGGAATTTTAGACTACTCTTGTTTTGCAAACTGCTCCAGGGCCTTCAGATTTGAAGGATGCCTTCTTCCAATGGCTGTTTTGAGAGCTCTCCACAGGTGTTCTATGGGATTCAGATCTGGACTAATTGCTGGCCATTTCAGAACTCACCAGCGCTTTAAGTAATCATATTTGAGTGCTTTTTGAAGTGTGTTTTGGGTCATTGTCCTGCTGGAAGACCCACTACCTCTGGTGGAGACCCAGCCTTCTGACACTGGCCACTACACTGCAACCCAAAATTCTTAGGCAATCCTCAGATTTCATGATACCGTTCACACACTCAAGGCATCCAGTGCCAGAAGCAGCAGAGCAACCCCAAAACATCTTTGAACCTCCACCATGTTTGACTGTATGGACTGTGTTCTTTTCTCTGAATGCCTCATTTCTTTTTTGTAAACAGTGCCATGATGCCCTTGACCAAAAAGTTTTACTTTTGTCTCATCTGTCCACAGTATGTCATCCCAGAAGGATTGTGGGTTTGTCACATACATTTTGGCATACTCCAGTCTTGCTTTTTCATGCCTTTGTGTCAGCATTGGTGTCCTCCTGGGTCTCCTACCATAG